AAAAAACTGCACGGCAAAAACGGAGAGATATTTAATTGTTTATTATTATTATTATTATTATTATCAACAATATATGCTGCATAATTTTAATTTGCATTTTAAAAACATAATTTTGGGATATTTTAATTATGATAATTTGAATAACGAAGTTTTTGTTATTTATCTAATTATTTTGTTGATTAAGTTTCATATTTATACGTGTACATTTTTCAACAAAAAACTTTTTACTTTGTTTTACAAGGAACTGAAAAAAATATTTTGTACTATTCAGCATATAGTGCTAATAGAAAGGCCATTAGAACTGTCCATTTGTGCTCTAATTTAAAATATATATATATATTAATGTAAAGGTCCTGATTGTTTGTAATTGTTAGTATTTTAGTTAATTATTTATACTCTTGTTTTTTGTGTTTGTTTTATTTATTTTTGTGCTGTTTTTATTATTTACCTTCTATAACCCTGGCATTGTTTTGTTTACTGTATTGTCATGCATATATGTTGTTTAAAGCATAACAATATATATATATATATATATATATATATATATATATATATATATATATATATATATATATACACACACACACACACACACACACACACACACACACACACACACACACACACACACACACACACATAAATATGCTGCAGTTCCTAGAGTTAACCGCTAGATAACACTCTTGCATAAAATTCCATTTCGCGCATCACAGTGCAGTTGTATACTTGACCAGCAGATGTCGCTGCTTTCTGTGCAAAAAGCAAAATGTGTGAGGAAGGGAAGTGCACAGGAAACAATTAACTGTGCTGGAGGTAGAGGAAGTGCTGCGAAGAACACCAGGGAATAGTGTGAGAAGGACACAGTCACCTCTAAACCTACAGCAGGAGCTTCTGGGCCTGAAAGCTAAACTTGTAACTATTTAAATTATTCTGAGGAATGTTACCATTTTAAGCCTTTTTAACAACAAAAAAAGATACAAATTTGTGTGGATTTATATATGAAGGTCATGATGAGGACATACTCTCACAGTATCTTGCACAGCCTTTCTTTCTCTGAATGTAATCAAAACTTAGATCTCAAATGGTTTATTAATAGACTGCGATTACATTGGGTTTCCTGGAGGTATCTGTGAACCAGCTAGCAGTCGAGGTGCATGATAACCCAGCAATGATGGCCAGCTTAGAGAGAAGATGTGCTGAATGAGAAAATGAACATGGCTTCAGAAGCACTGATTTTTTTTCTGTTGCTATGGGAACAGTCCACCATTAGATTGCTGTCTTTACACAGGGGTAGTGCACTGAGTTCAGAGCTGTGCAGTGAGAAAGTTTGATTAACAGATTTGAGAGAGGCATATTGTGAGCTTAGCTGAAGCATAATGCATGTTGAGTGTGTTATTTGATTAATTATTATGTATTACATCATGTGCACAGTGGCGCAGTGGGTAGCTCAATCGCCTCACAGCAAGAAGGTCGCTGGTTCGAGCACCAGATGGGCTCAGTTGGCGTTTCTATGTGGAGTTTGCATGTTCTCCCCATGTTCACGTGGGTTTCCTCTGGGTGCTTCGGTGTCCCACACAAGTCCAAAGACGTGCACTATAAACGAATTGGATTAATTAAATTGGCTGTAGTGCATGAGTGTGAATGTGAGAGTGCATGGGTGTTTCCCAGTACTGGGTTGTAGCTGGAAGGGCATCTGCTGGGTAAAACATATGATGGATAAGTTGGCGGTTCATTCCGCTGTGGCGACGCCTGATTAATAAAGGGACTAAGCTGAAGGAAAATTAATGAATAAATAACGCATGCCTTGATTGGCTTTTGGCCGTAGCTACTAGGGTTGGGCGACCGCCGATGCCTAATGTGAAGCATCACGATGGACGATGTCATCGTAGGCGGTAATAAATTAATTATTTATGAGTAACTAATTCATAACAAATTAATAATTTGTAGCCTACCGTTTCAACTACCTGACCCTCATTGTCCTTATTTTGCCAATAACCAAATCATAAATAAATAAAGGTACACACAAATCACCACCTTTCAGTCACTTTTTCCGCGGGACTCTGGCATAAATAGGCAAAAATAGCCAGACTGATCTGTGTCATTATAAAGCCGTTGACAAATGACATTGGTAAAAAAGGTGCCAAGCCAACAGGAACCAACCAACACTATCTGAAGTTTTCGCTAAAATTACTAAGTACAAGCGTGAAAGCGAAAGATCGAGGCAGTGTACTGACGCTGTGACACATTACCTGATAGATTTAAAAGACTGAAGAGTCGTTAGATACAGACAAGATGAATTAAATATCACGTTTAACAACTATAGAGAGGCGCGACCTAGCGGTACATCCTTGATAAGCTATCCGACGTGCTCAAAGCACCCGCTGACTGCCTGGAGCTCAAATGTGTGCGCATGTTGCTGTGCATGTGTGTGTGTGTGTGTGTGTGTGTATGGTCATGTGATGTGCGTTTTCAGTGGTATAGTATGGATGGAGATCTTTTCAGAAACGCCAGTGTGGACATGGATCATTTTCGTTCTAAAATGCCATTTTAAAACTAAGACGTATTAGTGTCAACGCGGCCTAAGTGTGTATTTTTAAGTGAGCTGGTTGTTGTTGCTATGGGGGCAGGGCGAAGGGTCGTGATGCCGGCTCAGCATTGTGTTGTCTATCTACCATCGGCAATGGACAATGCAATGGCATCGTCTAACGACCCAACCCTAATGATGTTTTATATCGGTGGTTGCTGCTTAATTTGTGTTGAATGTGCACTTGTAGAGCATATATTTAAAATATTTTAGTTGGAGAAAACGCTTTCGTGAGATTTTCTTAAATGTTGGTACACTTTGTTAAAATATTTACTTTAAATTATGGGAAATCGTTATATTTAACAACTTTGTCATGCACGTACTAACTTACATGCATAAAGACTTGAATGTGTTTAAATCTTTAGACAATCAACAGTGCATTCAGCTCAGAGCTGTGCTGTCAGAAAGTTTGATTAATTGATTTGAGAAAAGCATATTGTGAGCTTAGTTGACGAATTATGCATGTTGTGTGTTAATTTATTAATATGTGTTACATGCCTTGATTGATTTTTGGCAATAGATAGCCCACTGTTTTATATAAGTGGTTGCTGAATAATTTAGTTAACATAGTTTTACGTGCACTTGTAGAGCATATATTTAAAATATTTTACTTGGAGAAATCACTTTACAAACTTGGGTATACTTTAAATTATTTACTTTAAAAATAGTAAACCATTATATTTAACAACCTTGTCATGCACGTATTAAGGCACACACATAAAGCCTTGATTGTTTTATTAAAATCTTTCTTTACAATCAACATTTTAAATGCTCTATAAAGTGTATTAAATATATTAATGTGACCATTATCTTTGTCCTCACTATTTATCATATAATATAATTTATCATGCCATATAATAAGTTTTTATAAAATGTATATTTTAGTTTGTGACCACTTGAGGGTGAGTAAATGATGACAAAGTTTTCATTTTTAGCATTTCTGTCACTTTAACCATATTCAAAACAGCATAAATAAGTATGAACTTGCATATAAAGATGTACAATAAGGTGGAAAACTAATTGAATGTATCATGAATTAAAACTAAAAAACATTCATTAAATTCAAACAGTAAAAGTAAAAAATTGTATAGTCGTAAACACAAACACACACACACACACACACACACACACACACACACACACACACACCTTGACAGAATTTAGAGGTGGCTCAGTGCAGTCTTAACTTGTTGGTCAGAGTTGCCTTATAGAAGTTTGTAACATGCAACAATGGCAAATCCCTTTTGAATGTGTTCTGTAGCCTCAAGGCTCTAACCGGTTAGGTTTCATTTTCATCTAAAGGTCCAGTTATGGAAGATTTATTAATCACTTTGAGGTCAAAATGAGGAATTAATGACAACAGACTGCAATGGCAACAAGAAGGTCAAATGATTTTTTGGGCACGTGTCAGAAGGAGATTCAGTATAGACCTTCAATAAATTTAAATCTGCGCCATTTGTAATGTTGGTGTCTAGTTTTAAAACATATTAGTGTTGGAATTTAAGAAAACCTGTTCATATGTGTGTTTCCAAATGAAAAGGGAGCACTTCATCAAGCAGTTCTCCTTGAGAGACCGCTAACAGGTAGGCTAATCTTCATGAAAAGCTGTACAGTTATGTACATCTGTCCAGACCATTTGTCATTCCTGTCAGTCACATGAGAGTAAAGCATTTATAACCTTTCGTTTATGAGTCAACCTGCTACCTTCAGGTGTTATTGACTGGGAAACACCAGATGAACAACAAACCTGAAAAACGAGTCTTCACAGCAGCACTTCTCGTGCACATTTTCCCGCGAACCAGAATCGTGTGAATGGATAGCCTACGTGATAAAAAATCCCTGACACGCTGCCAAAAGCTCATGTGACGCGACGTCAGTGTCACATTAGAGCATACGCGTGTACAGAAGAGGTACACCAGTTCTTGCGTGCCGCTACATGACACTTTCAATGTTAAATAAATGTAATTTATAAAATATGCTTTTGTGATGTTATAATAGTCACTGATATGTTTCAGTTTCTCGTTAATTATTTGCACCTTATTCAATTAATTAAAATAAAGGTAAATGTTTCCTGAGAGAAAAAAAGTAGCCTAGGAAATAATCTCGAAAGCATGCGTCAAGGTTAAACGTCTTTTTGTGTGCCCTTTATTCTAAAATGAACTATATGCTACAATTATATAGCTACTGCATGTACAAAAACCGTCTAGACTCTGAACTCCTTTTATCTAAGAGCGATTATCTCTTTCAAAGCGCTGCCTGTCACAACACCATAGATGGATCTCCAGAACAGCTGCTGCGCCGTGAGCAGATTCGTCAAGAAGAGGCACGTGACCGCTTTAGTCAGCGCATGATTGTGACGTCAAACACCGGAGCCTGCTCGCGCCTCTAAAATGAAGTGACCTTTCTCTTTCGCCCTGATATAGAATCGGTCCGCCGACCGGCAAGAGAGGAGTACTTATCAAGAACGACAATTACCTACACAGTCTAAAAGGTAACATTTTTTGAATCTGTCACGTAGTGTTGAGATCTGCTCGGCGTTTTGTGTCATGTATGTGAAATTTATACATAATGGAGGATTTTTATAGCGGTTCCTTGGAAGGGTGGCGTAAGGTTGCGTAAGCTTACCGGTAACATTACTCCTCAAGAACAACTGAACGCCAGGGAAGAATTATATGATTTGGTATGAAGTAGTGTTACTTTTAATTATATTAAAATATGAGAACTGTGCGTTTTTGATAAAAACCCACACATTCTGTTTAGTAACTCAACAGAATGAGTGGGTTTAATAGGAGGTTAGCCTGATGTGGCTAACTGCTAGCGTCCGCAACGTGGATCTGAAGCCGGTTTACGACTTCAGCTGAATTCTTTGAAATAAACATTGCTTATCTCAGGCAATTCTGACGAGTTAAAAGGAGATTTGTCACACAAACTCTAATCCGGCTGCTTGTTCATTTTAAGCTAGTTCTCACAGGGCGATCTCTAATGAGCCACACATCAGTGATTAAGGCTTTCTTTAATGAAGGCGATTTAAGGTTATCCTCGGATGAGCACTTTGATGCCGAGATGTTTACAGGTACTAATCGCCAAGGATTAGTTGTCAGAGAAACGTGCTTCTCCATCTATAAAATGCTAAGATTATTTACTTCATAACGAGAGAAGGTCTAACCTCATAAGCTGTTTTGGGGCTTGTTTTGTGTCCTGAGCTGATAAAGGATGCTCCATCCTTGAATGACCTTCTAATGATGTCCTTTCAAGTGTCAGTGTGTTCACCTCTCATTTCACTTCCAGGTAAATATGGGTGACGTTGAAAAGGGCAAGAAGGTGTTCGTCCAGAAGTGCGCCCAGTGCCACACCGTTGAAAATGGAGGCAAGCATAAAGTGGGGCCAAATCTCTGGGGTCTTTTCGGTCGCAAGACTGGTCAGGCTGAGGGATTTTCCTATACAGATGCTAACAAGAGCAAAGGTAAGGCTGATTTGGCGAATACGCATTTTCTTACGATGAGATGGACTCGCTTAACAAATCTTATTATTTTGCACAGGCATTGTCTGGGGTGAAGATACCTTGATGGAATATTTGGAGAACCCAAAGAAATACATTCCAGGCACAAAGATGATCTTTGCCGGGATCAAGAAGAAGGGCGAGAGAGCAGATCTTATTGCATACTTAAAGTCGGCCACATCATAATTCAGCTGGAGATCGAGGAAACGGCAATATTTAAATTAAATGTTTGTAGTTTGGATTTGAATGTCTTTAACTAACTATTATTCATATGGTGTAACTGAACACGTGGCCAGGGTTATTCATTATAACATGTGGCATGCTTCTAAAGCCGGTCCATTTTAACAGTGAAGATTTTCTTCTTTTTTGTTCGTCCATGTATGGTTAAAGGAAGAGTAAAGTTACTGCAGGTCCCTAGTGTTTCCGCTGAGGGAATGAAAACTGTCCCCTGGTTTCACAGGAGCTGTCGTACGTTAAATTATTAAGATGTGCTGAACCTAGTAAGTATTTGGATTGGAATGAGCGACTGGGAAATCAGTTTGCTTATTGGTAACATTGTATCAAATGGATTTGAACTGTCAAATAAAACGGTCAAAATAGTCAAATGTATGTCTATTCTGTTAGTTTCTCATATTCTGATGCTTGCTTGTGCAGCTAACAATAAAGTGCACTTTTTATTTTAAAGTATTACTCTTTGACCTTCAGTTTTAATGTAGTAAACCGGCAGATGACTCCATGTACTGGGACCTTTAAACTCTCAGGGTATAAAAATTGTCAGGTATGCTCTCGTGCTCCTCTGTGTAATTTCAGGGCAAGTCTTGACAATTTCCACATAGAGGCAGCATGTTTATCAAGATTTTCATGATTGTCTTAGAAAGCTAGTCTGCCTGATAAGGAAGTATTGGTCCCTCAATGATGAGTACAATTATTTTATCAGGAAATTGAACATCTATTGCAGTGCCATAAACAATAACATTAAAGAATTACATTACTGCAAAATTCAATAACACTAAAGTGCACTCCAATTCAGTTATGCGTTTGAATAATTAACATGTTTTTGTTTCTTACTGTCCTCTTTTTTTCAGCTATATTACATCCAACTTATGGATTATGAATCTATAATAATTGTAAAAGTTTAGAAGAAAGCATGCATTAATGTGTAATAACTTAATTTAATGGCATATGCAACTTGAGTACTGTTGAGAAGATGTCCTATCTGTAAAATCAGGAGGATCAAATGCAAATCAGATTGCGTAGAAACTGCATAGTCCAGCAGTTCTTATCAGCTTTCGCTTTAATTGGACTTTATAACATTATAAGCAGATACGTGCAATACACGCCAGAGACAAAGTCCAAACTAGCAGAAGACTACACAGATGGTCAAACTCTACCTACAGCATCAGTTCTGTATACAGTACAAATTAAAGTAGCATAACCTGGTGTGTGTGTTACAATAAAATGCACATTCTCATCTGGTAAATACTTGATATTTTTAATTAAGTCTAAAAACTGAAACTGAGAATTGTAAACTAAAATGATTTCTTATGTTACAGTTATGTCTTGGCTTCAAAAACATGCATGTTGAGAGGGCAACATAAATTTAAAACTACTGCAGCTTCAATGTCACGAGGAGGGTCATTTGAATATAAATGCCGCCCCCTAGAGGACACCGGCAGTTACGCAACGATGTTTTGTAACAATTGTTATTAAACGTGAAGTTGCCAAGCTTGCATATTTATTGCAGCACGTGAGCCTTTCAGTTCAAATCATGAATTTAAACGAACAAGGGTATATTTTACTCATTATACTCTGTATATAAGTAAATATTTGGTAGGAAAAAAGAAAACGGAGGGTACTAAATTATCAAATTACATATAAATATGTTACAAACATTTTTGTATATATGCATTATTTTGTATATTTTCTGTAGTAAACGTGCATTTAATAACTCTTGTTAATAACTAAAATTGTAAAAAAAAATGTTAGAGAAGCATATTAACTGTTGTAATTCCTTTTCTATTTTTAGACTTAGAAATCATTTTTATATGCATTTGAATCTTTTTTTTCTAGCACCAGTATGAGAGGTTTGCTTTTGGCAAACTTGGATTTATATATGTGAAATTTCCATAATAATAAAATAAAGTTTATAATAAAACCAGCATATTTTAAAGAGCAATCCTTAACATAATAACATAAAACCACGTTTATTAAAAACGTTATGAGCAACAAGCTTAACATTAATCTGTAAAAAAAACAAAAAAGTCGAGTATATTGGCAAGTCCCAAATAAATGTGAAATAGTTTCATTAAAGCTTTTACAAAAACAGCATTCTACCTCAATATTAATTTTAAGCTTTTGCAGAAATATTTTTGTAGGATAAACTCTATAAAGTTATTTAAACAGTATTTCTTTAGCCTTTTTTGTAATAAAAAAAAAATGAGGTAATGACCATACTTGAGTCCAGTTTACATTATTAAAAATATTGTTCCAGTAAAAAACAACATATGTTACAGGCGTATTTTCTTTTAGGATTAAAGATCTAATTTTGTGATTAGGCTGAAATCCAAAAAAACAGATGAAACCGACTGGGATCTGTTCAGGAGGACAAACATACATATGTAAACCAGCAGTTATTGCCCCCGTTAGTATCGCAAATTCCTGTAATGTAATAAGAATTGTGTATTTTGCGATTAATTTTGTAAATGTAAATAATGTTATTTCATTATCAAATAATTGATTAACTAATTAGCTCGTTGTTAAAACATTGTGAAAGAATAGTGCTATTTCTGTTGTTGTGCATATTTAAAACTATTTGATGACATTAAAAGACTATTACAGTGCTGCCTCAAAATATTAATTATAATAAGCTGTATAATTTGTCTTATAAGATCTGTATACTTTGCCACTAAGTACTTTGCCATTCATTTTTACATATATCTGTTTGCTGAATAACAATGACATTATATTTAGCTAATATTTTTATATTTTATTTTCATAAAAGGTGTTTGACTAATTAAAACACCTATACAATAATCTAACGATACAAAACCCGTACATTTAATATGTAAGCTTATAAAATCACTTTAATTTGATGGTCTATGTGTGTTGAGAATGTAGTTGTGTGTTAGATTACATTAAGAGTATTCTTTCACTACTTCTTTTGCCCTTATTTTTTACAATCTCAATATGACTGTGAGGTAACTGTGAAGATACTCATGTAATGGACATATAAAGAAGATTTGTCGTTCTGTTTGTGTCTTGCATCAGCCTTCTCCAACTGAAAGTGTCTTGTTACAGGAACTAATAAAAAATATGAATAAAACGTGACCAGCTCAAAAAATGGCACTGCCACAAAACACCAGAGGAGGTCAGCAGTCAGCTATTCTTTCTTTATGGAAAAAATAAGAGACTTTATTCTGTTTCTTTTAACATTTTTTGAGTGTTTTTTTCCTATTTAAAATCTAAAAATAATAATTAGAAATAAATTAATTAGAAATGTGGAAGAAATGTTATCAGACATGTAATTCATCTTTATCATTCAATTAACAAAAAAATAAATAAATAAAATAAAAACTAACATTTTACCCAAACCTGTAGTAAATCCAGACCTTATAATTAATTAATTTGGTGTAATGTTATGACATTAGACTATTTGAATTATTTGAGATAAGCATGCAGACTAGCATAAAACATGTTTAATATTATTATTTGATCGAGATGCTGTTAGAAATTATACGTTAAATATATAAATATTATCTAAAGCAAAGGAAAATTGCAACAAAAATTCTATCCACAATTCTGTCAAAGTGCTTCATTCATTCATTTTATTTTCTGCTTAGTCCATTTATTAATCCGGGGTCACCACAGCCTAAAATAACTGCCAACTTATTCAGCACATGTTTTTAAGGCAGCGGATGCCCTTCCAGCTGCAACCCATCTCTGGCAAACATCCATACACACTCATTCAAACTCATACACTATACGGACAATTTAGCCAACCCAATTCACCTGTACCACATGTATTTGGGCTGTGGGGGAAACTGGAGAACCCACAGGAAACCCACGCGAACACAGGGAGAACCTGCAAACTCCACACAGAAGCGCCAACTGACCCAGCCAAGGCTCGAACCAGCGACCTTCTTGTTGTGAGGCGACAGCACTACCTGCTGCGCCACCGCGTCGCCTATCAAAGTGCTTATCATACTATTTTTTGTTTAAAAAAATGTATCTTTGTTTACAAATGTGCATTTAAAAGTTAATACAATTTCATATATAATTTAATGAGACTAGAATTTAAGAAATGTGAAAATGTATTTAGTTATCATTAATTTATTATCATCTATAATAAAAAAAACAAACAAAAACAATTTAAAAAAATTGGCAATCTGTTAAAACTTAAATTAAAAACTGTAGCCTGCATGCAAATAACAAACATGCCAGCTCATTTTCTCAGCCAGAATTTGTCCATTTAAATAATAAAAGCTTTCTTTTATTGGTTATTCCTCTTAAAGCCCTCTTCTATTGGTTAATTTGACAATTTATGATGACATACTATCAAAATAGGACAAATAAGCTCATATAGAGGCCAAATTTTGGACTTTATCAGAAGGGGGTGGGTCTTTCGAACCACCTAAATCTTCACATATAATACGCTTACACAAGTATAACGTTCCATGAGCTGTTTCAGTTCCAACAGCACTTCAAAACATAAACCATTATCACAAGCCAAGAATACAAAATTGCAACATTGTATACAGCCACACTTGTGAAATCTGCTTGACAGGGTAAAGCTGGGTAAAACAGACTTAATTTAGGTTTCACTATGCAAGCCATTAAACGTAACTGTAAACATTAGGACATTATCAATAATATCTGTTGTTAGTTAAACATGTAGACAGCATTTATTCTTTATATATCGTTTTTTATGCTATTAATACTTTCTACATAATTGGTCCATATATAAATAATCAACAGCACTATTGGAATATTAGCAGACCAAAATAAAAGTCTACCTCAAATATATATAGCCTCTTCATACTTGTGTATCTGCCCACACAGCAGATCAATAAACTCACTACAGTTTGACAAATATTGCTGCTGTTGGACAACATAATGTGCTTCTGAGGCTTTTGAGGCAAGGGTGTAGTTGTTTAGATTGCATCTATGCAGTTTATTTGTAAGAATATTACCAATTTTAAAATACTTATAAATTCTGAGAGACAGCGTGTCGGCGGCCATTCGCCTGTCATTGAGTAAAGCAAAGACAGTTGACATTGTCCATCCACAAGATGGCGACAGAGACCACATAATAAGCCCTTACAGGAGGAAAAACTCGTTGTAATTTTAAACTACAACATATCAAATCCTTATAAAACTGGTAAGTCACATTCAAAGTCGATCTCTCTCTTTTTTATGTTGCAGTGCTGTATTTGTACCAGTAATTGTAATAGTAATTGTAGTGTGAGATGGGACGCATCGGGAATCTATGTATATTGTGTTGGACACTCTGTGTATAACCTTGAGTTACTTTTTGGATGGCCATCTGTTTGTTTCTAATGTCACCTGTTTTCGTTTTTGCAGACTAGTTCAGTACAAAGAAAGAAAGAAGAAATGCCCGCATGTGTTTAGCTTTTTTCTTTATCGCAAACACAACAGTAATCTGGTAGTGTTTGAGTTGCTTTGTTAGTTGTTAGTTATTGTGATCTCCCAAATGCAACAGAGAAATTCTAAGAGAAATCTCTGTTTAGACCAGGGGCGATTTTAGGATTTTCATTTTAGTGGGGCTCAGCTCCTTAAAAGGTTAAAAAAAATAGTGACTGTCATTGACTCAGTGAGTTAAAACGAGTACATTCTCTAAGTGCTTCTGTCACTGTGTTTAATCCTTTCTGTCCAGGACTGTATGGTATAGTTAATGCCATACGAACTGTAAAGTGTTTAATATTGGTAGTTCATTTGAAATGAGAAAATAGTGAAATTTTCATTAAGAGTTACATTTTTTGCAGGAGGAAACAGCTGTGCTGATAAGGTGAACGCCGAGAAAACCCGACTGCTCCTCCGTGACATTGAGATACAGGTGATACAAGGTTATCTAAATTAAAGTACTGCAAATAAGCAGATATTATATCAATATCAATAAACACACATCTCGTTCTCTTGCTGTCCATAGCTGTGGTTTACTGATCAAATTAAAAACAAGCGAGGAGGAGCTGAATGATGCCGCAGTTTCCATATTAAATTTAAAAGGGACTGAGGCGATAATTTAGTGTACAGTTTATGAGCTAATCGCAAAAGTTTTAGGGGGGCTGAGTAGAAATGTAGGGGAAATATAGAAAAATAGGCCCATGCTGTAGACCAGGGGTGTCAAACTCATTTCCTGGAGGGCCGAAGCCCTGCACAGTTTAGTTCCAACCCTGCTCCAACACACTTACCTGTAGGTTTCAAACAAGTCTGAAGGACTCAATTAGTTTGATCAGGTGTGTTTAATTAGGGTTGGAACTAAACTGTGCAGGGCTTCGGCCCTTTTGGAACTGAGTTTGACACCTGTGCTGTAGACTGATGGTATTTCATGTCGTTCAACTTTAAAACCTTAAAATGTGAGCAGAATTACCTGTTTTGTCATCACTTTAGACATTATGCTAGAGAATATATGAAGATTTTAATTCATGTTATAGCATGTACTTTAAGCCTGTCATGAAGCCAACATTTTTTTTCCCAAGAGATCAATATAGATTTGATGGGTGGAGCTTCTAAAGCAAAGTTCTGTAATGCACTGACCACACACTCACACAGCCAGAGTGGACCACAGAACTTTCCCCGAGGAGCCATGGTCTGTGTGTGTATGTGTGTGTGTTTCTCCATATAAGTGTGTCCATATGTTGATTTAACTTGTGTAGGAATACGACTCAAAGGAAGCCTAAGCATGCATTTTAGATTTTCGAAATTCTCATTTAAAACAAAAATATGTAGGCTATCTGACATTTGCTTCAGTCATTTGGGTTTCGACAGTTTGCTTGCAGTTGCCTTGGCTGTGATGGGGTTGCCTCCACACTCAGGGCCCAATCAGCTTCTGAGGTTCCCTGGGAAGCAAAACACATGTTAGAATTTATGTCCAGTCTCTGGAATAAGCTGACGTGTCTCCATGCATTAACAACCACAAAATCCTGCAACAGTGTTTAACAGAATCATGAAAATAGTTTACGCGACCTGTAATGAAAAGCTTATTTTATACAACCACAAAGATGTTAAAACAAATGTAGTTTTCAGCAGACTTTTTGTTAAAAGTTCAGAATCATGTATTGTTTCATGACGTTTCTTGAGTATTTATGACATGTTTGTAATCATACATATGTGCATTGTTCCATAAGATGTGGTGTATTTAAATCCACCACTTCTGTTTTCAAAAGCTTTAACAATGGACACTGACCTATATATACACACATATGTGAGTTTCTAATGCTAAGCTATTGTTTGTAACACGTAATCTAAACACTAAAATGTGTCCAAATTTGTAAACAAATGTTCTCATATTTTCATTTAAGACAGTTTAAGCCTGGCATCACTTTAAAATACTAAGCATGTCCAACTTTCTGTGCACACTTTCCTAAGTTTAAAACTCTGCAACAAAAAAAAACCTAAACTAAAGGCTAAAGTCACTGCTGAATGTTTAGTGTCCGCTTACCTTTCGGCTGACCGGTGGCTCTTCTGAATGTGCCTCGAAACAGACTGAATGTACCGCTGGACCCCCTTTCTCTCTCTCTCTCTCTACGTCTCTAAAGGAATGTCGACGTGGAGCTGCCAAACGTGAACGTGTAGGGCACTCATGAACGCGCTCGTCGGAGACAGTTCTCTGAGCTCGTATCCTTGGCATAGGTGGAGTGGGCATGTCACTAATCACAGCTACCTGTCACATTTCGTGGCGTCTTAAAAGCGGAGGGGGAAGAAATTCTTAAAAGACTTACAACGAATGCTTCATTTAAAGATGTTAGACACATGTTATGTTATGTTATGTTATGTTTTATGTAAAGTAGAGCACGAGATGGGCAGTTTATCAATAATAATTCCTCTAAGATTTTACTTGGCAAGTAAATTCACATCTTTAGATGTAGCCTACTTATAAGCACTGAGATAAAAACCAAAACAGGTAGCAATGTTTGTGGAATTTAACGTTTCAATGAGGTAAGACGGGGTGCTTTTGTTTGTTTAAACGTTTAAGATCAAATAATTTCATCGATATTGTTATCGATGAAGAAATAACGCTGTAAAGGCATGTAATAAAGTGATAAAGGCATGTCTGACTGGAGTTGAAGGCTGTTATTGGTCGATGCTTGATAGTAGGCGGATTTTAAAGCACGATTGGCTGAAGATCGTTACCGAATTCCTCATCTGCTTGTTGATTGGCTGGTGGATATTGTGGGAGGCTCCCATGTGTATTTGGTTCTGTTACACACGCGTGTCGTCAGATTTGATTCAGAAATATGCGCGCTGTCGTGTGTGTTGCTTCTCCATCATAACATCAGCTGGAAGACATGGACGACCTTTCAGCTCAATTTCAACACGAGTCGGTAAGTTTACAAACTTTGATAGCAAACAGATATACTTTGTCAAGCAGTGGGTTAGAGTAAATCCATATATAAGATTAAACATTATATTTACTGGATTTTTAGAAATGATAATAATGTAGGGAATAAAGTAATGATGTTTTATAATAATGTAGTTATAATATTGTTTTGTAATCAAGTCATTAATATTAGTAAGAGTGATGATTAATAATAACTGTAGTTGTATGAAGCAACCACACATATTAATGTTATTTATTTTTCAAATATTCAGTGCTGTTTAACCGAGAGAAGATTTTTCTATATAATAGCTTTAACTATTTTCTAAAAACTAATTTATTTTGCTTTGCCATGATGGTAGCACATAAAATGTAACTCGTTATTTTGCAAGATATTAGCATTCAGCTTAAATTGCAACTTTAAGGTTTAATTAGGAAGGTGAATTAGGTTAACTTGACAAGTTTTATTAAGTTTTATTAAGCAAGTCATTGGACAGCAATGCTTTTTTCTGTACCAAATAAAAGTAATAAAACTAGAGGCTAATAACATTGACCTTAAAATATATTTTAATATTTTAAAACTGCTTTTTATTTTTAAAACTATTCCAACCAAACAGAAGAAAGAAACAAGACTTTCTTTAGCAGAAATTAATATTATTTGAAATACTGTGAAAATATCTTTGATATTAAAATCTAAACTTTGTTGAACGTCACTTGGGAAATATTTGAAAATAATTAAAATGGCACAGGGTTTCACAGAGATATTTTTACCTTCAACTGGATGCTTTATTGGTTAAGTGCATATATAATGAAAAATGCAAATCAGCACAAAAATATTGCTGAGCATATAATTCTAAAGAATAATGTGACACTCCACACCAGAAAAGTCAGCTACACTATATATATATATATATATATATATATATATATATATATATATATATATATATATATATATATATATATATATATTTGGCATGGGATGATAGCTGTTTTCAAGGTATAGCTTGGTTTGAGAAAGTCAAGGTATTAAAACCACCAACATTTTCTGTATTACCGTTCCTACACTGTAAAAAATAAATCTGAATCAAATTAACTTTATTAGTCCATTGAACTTATAATATGTCCAACTGACTTATACAATTAAGTTAGAATATGATTAACTTCGCTTAAAAAGTTACAATGACCTAAAAACATATGCTGTCAGGTCTAATTGATCGTATAGTTTTTACAGTGTACTGCTCCAAAATATATTAAATGTTTCTCATAATATAACATATTGACTTAAAATGGGGGAAAAGTGTTTGTTTTTTACCCTGACATGTAAAAATAATATATTTTAGAACAGTAATCATATGTTATCTAAGTTTATCATACCGTCAGAATCTTACACCGGCCCATGCTTAATATACAAATAGCTGAATTTTCTGGTGTGCAATGTATATATTAACAATAGTTTAAATTTATTAATATTTCCCAATATTAATAAATGCAATAAATCATATATATATAAATATATATATATATATATATATATATATATATATATATATATATATATATATATATATATATATATATATATATATATATATATATATATATATAAACTTTTTTATTATTTTTTATAACTTTTTTACCAGTTGATGTAAAGTACACCTTTTCACCTGTGGTAAATCACCTTAAAAACATTGAGAATAGTAAAGCTAAAAAAATTCCTTTTGTTATTCCTGAATGCCGGCCTGTATATGGGGAGTGGTGGGCAGTCAGAATAGCTCTGGGGCTGTGGTCTCGAATGCTGGCGGAGGCTGTCATGAATCTGGCTGTCAGGTATTGAAGTGACTGGGTAGTTAAATAAACATTTGACTTTGTGCACCTGATCCAGTCACACCCACAACTGCACTACTGTTTCGGGCTGGGTAGCCATTTATCCCACTGAGAAGAGTTAATTCATAAATCAACTGTCCTTTATGCACGCAAAGGCTCTATCAGTCTGTCTGCACTTTACCACAGTTGCATCATCAAAATCACCACCCAGCTGTAGGCGTGTGTACTCACCTTTCACTCAGCTCACCTTTATACCTTCTTTCTCCCAGTTATTCTTGTTCTGGATTTTTTTTGTGCGTGTGTGTGTAGTAGTATCTGATGGATTATTTTTTTAGGTTGCTCTGTGAACTAAATTCGTAATCTCATGCGCAATCTGAAGCATTTATTTGCTTGCGTGACTCCAGTGAGAGGGCAAAAAGTTCAAGGCCTTCATGACCGACTATTAGAAACGCTTTGGGCTCTGTTTTGAAGCAATTTTAGCATGTATTCACAAAAAATGTGCTCACTCAGAAGTCTGTGGTGTAATGGCCTTTAGGTTCACACACACTAACAATGTGCACAAGACAATGTCCTACCTTCTAAACACCATTGCTAATATCTGTCGCTGATAGTGGTTTAAAATGATTGTAAAAAATATGCAGACCTGATATCAGGGATAAGTACAGTTTGAAATCTGACATCTCTGCTCATGGGCACTCATTCTGAATTCAGGTTCACTGGAGCAATTACAGGTCTATGTCAACTATTATTTCTTGCCTGAATCTGATCTGAACTGAAATGAACTTGTCTGATCTGAACTGATCTGAACTGTTTCTATTTTCAGTGCCACATCTGTAGTTCGCACGGCAGATGTCATTGACGTTTGGAGTAGAAAGCACGCACTACAACATGTTGTATATCATATAGATAAGCTTCCTCAGTGGCAGCACAACCTCTGACCAAATTTATACAAGCCTCATAAACTCTTGGATTACCATTTATTGTAGCAAAAGAAGTGATTACATCTTACATCTTATATCAATGGCTCTTAATGTTTTGCACTCCAAGGCACCTGATGATTCGCAACAGTATTTAAAGACTTAATGTACAGGATAAAGATAAAGACTTAATAAATATATATGTACTGTAAAACACAAAAAGTTTAGGTAACTCAAACCATTTGAGGAAATCAATTGCAACAAACCATTTAAGTTCAAAAACTAATCCTAATGAGTACGGTGAACTTAATCCATTTGAGTAAATGAAGCAATTTGAGCACAGTAAAACCCAATAAATGAAGAGAACTCAAACCAACTGAGTACTGTAAAACCCAATAAGTTAGGGCAACTCAAACGGTTTGAGGAAACCGATTGCAACAAACCATTTGAGTAAAAAAAACTAATCTATATGAGTACTGTGAACTTGAAGGTATTTAATTAACTCATTATCTACAACACCGAGTTCAAAACTCTTTTCAAATGAGTAGAATTAACTTTCAGTCAATTTTGAGTTAATTACACTCATTTCATTTGATAAAGTTCACAGTTGGGATTTAGAGTGAATATGTGTATGTGTGTGTGTGTGTGTGTGTGTGTGTGTGTGTGTGTGTGTGTGTGTGTGTGTGTGTGTGTGTGTGTGTGTGTGCGTGCGTGTGTGTGTGTGTGTGCGCTACCTGACAAAAAGTCTTGTTGTCAATCCCAGTTGTATGAGCAACAGATAATAACTTGACTTCTAGTTGGACATTTGGAAAAGAGGCATTTGTGCTGCCCACTACATTACAAACATCAGGAGAGGACAAATTATTCAGGAGGATAGCTTCTCATGCTTCAGCCTCCACATCAAAGTTCCTGAAAGCAAAGAAGGTTACGGTGCTCCAGGATTGGCCAGCCCAGTCACCAGACATGAACATTATTGAGGGTTCATCTATTGGAGTTAGATAAAGGAGGCATTGAAGATGAATTAAAATAATCTTGATGAACTCTGGGAGTCCTGCAAGAACACTTTCTTTGCCATTCCAGGTGACTTTATTAAGAATTTATTTGAGTCATTGCAGACATGTATGGATGCAGTCCACCAAGCTCATGGGAGTCTAACACAGTATTCATTCTTTTTCCACTGCACCATGACTTAATATTCCATACTCTACATTATTTCTGTTAAGTGACAAGGCCTTTGTCTAAGCAAAGTCAGACCTTACTGTCCTAATTAAAACTCAAGGCATGTTCATATTTTATTTTGGTGAAATAAGAGTAATCTAGAGGCCTTTGCCTTTCATATAAGCCACTTCTACTACCAAATCATCAACTAGAAGTCAAGTTATTATTTATTGTTCCTAAAAACTTGGACAAGACTTTTGTCAAGTAGTGTATAAATTCTTTTGTTAATAAGAATATACCCGGTTAGATGTAATTTTCTTGCAAAGAAACCCAGATTATCCTTAACAACTTGTTAAAAAGAGCTTTTACAATGTGTATCCTGGTAACATTCGAACCAGTTCATCTTTATTTCTATATCGCTTTTACAATGTAGATTATGTGAAGCAGCTTAACATGGAAGTTCTAGTAAATTGAAACTGCATCAGTCCAGTTTCAGGTGAAGTTCAGTTGAGTTCAGCTCAGTGTGGTTTAATTTTTATTCTAGCAACATGTTGAAACATGTTAGCAAGGTGTTATGGCATAGTATTACAAGATGCTAATAGCATACTAATTCATGTTAGCATTATTCTGGTAACCTACTAACTCATGCTAGCTTTGTGGTAGCTAAAATCTTGGAATATAGTTAAAAATCACAAGTGTTCCATACTAGTGTAACCCCGCCAGTCCTACACCACCCAACCCACTCTGAGCTGGTATCGAACAGGCAACCTTCAAATGGAAGTCGGTTGCTCTAACAAGGAAGCTAAAGACCACGGCCTCTAGCATCTGTCACTAGAGCACTTTTACTCCAGAGAAGTGAGGTTTACCTGCACAGCACTTACTAGCTGGCCTCTGTTACACTTACCCCCCTAAACCTCACTACCATCCAGGTCACGGCACCAATGTCACCCAATCCGCTCCGAGCTGATATTGACCCGGCAACCTTCCGCATGGGAGTCAGTGGCTCTAAAAAGGAGGCTAAAGACCACGGCCTCTAGTGTCTGTCGCTAGAGCACCTTTATAGATCAGAGGAGTGAGGTTTACCTGCACAGAACTTACTAGCTGGCCTCCGTTACACTAGCAATACATTGAAACATGTTAGCAGCATGGTAGTTAGAAGTATCTATCATGCTAGATACATTTCAGTGTTAAAACATGCTGGTAGCATGCTAATTCATGCTAGGAACATACTGGTAACATACTAATTCATGCCAACAATAGGTTAACAACATGTTAATTAATGTTTGCAGTGTGTTAAACATGCTAGCACCTAATACTGTAGGTTGACAATATGCTATAAAGCTACGATGCAGTATGTTAAAATGTAATCAGCAAGCGTGAACAAACAGTGTTAGAAACAAAACAACATGGTAAACATGTTACCAAGGTGTTATTTTAATGTTAAAACATGCTGGTAGCATGCTAATTCATGCTAAAACATGCTGGGAACATACTAATTCATGCTAGCAATAAGTTAAGAACATGTTAATTCATGTTAGCAACTAACAACTAATACTGTATGTTGACAATGTTGTAAAAAGCTACAATGCAGTGTGTTAAAGTGTAATTAGCTTGTTTGAACAGTATTAGAAACAACCTGGTAAACATCCTAGAAATATTTTATTCAATATTTTTTAATAGCAACATGTGCTCCTTTTGTCTATTATTCTTTAGATATAGTTTTAAGGCATCTACTAATCCTAAACCACCCTCAACGGTTCTGTTTTTTGTTATGCTACCCCTGCCTGTGCTCATGTAGTCACATTACAGGTGTATTTGGCAATAAGGCGGCAGTCAGGCAAATGAATGCGGATGCAAATCATGCACAAAACATGACTGATATCACAAGAGTTCGCAGAAAGTTCATGCAAAAATACTCCTATTATAATATGCGTGTATGGCCACACACAAACATGGCATTATCTGTTTTACATTATGTCCCTCTGTGTTTAGGCTGTGATTGATATTTTATGGAGGCAGGATGTGGATTTGGGGGTGGAGCGCGAGATCTTTGATGGATGTCTCCGGCAGAGGGAGGAGGAGACCATGAGAGAGAGAACAAGAGAAAGAGACTTGAAAAGAGAGAGAGAGCTTGAAAGGATAATGCAGAGGTTACAGAAACTAGACGAGGAAACTGGAGAGTGTTTGCCCAGCCCTTCATCTGTGAACTCTCAGGTAACCATTTTACTTCACATGTGTACAAAAAAACAACACGGATCCCTTAGTAAAGGCCCTTCACACTGAGCACCATAACGATGAATATATAATACAACAATAAATATATGTGTCCACACAGACAAATGATAAAGATCTGTTTATTTTTAGATTATGATTTTAATTCAGCTTTATCCCTTTTAACCAGCAGGTCTCCTCAGTGTTTTACTACTGCATCTGAACATATTGAGATAAGAGGTGTAATCAATATAATCAAACGGTGAATTTAGCAATTGTAGTCAGTTCCCCAGATTTTTCTAAGAAGGCAACACAAAAGCACTGAAACTAGCACTGGATTCTTGCTCTACTTTTTTTTTTTTATTTCAATTAGCCAGCATCCCTACAGAAAATTCCAGCTTAAACCAGCCTAGACTGGTTTGCTGGTTTTAGCTGGTCAACCAGTCTGGTTTTAGAGGGGTTTTGGACATTTTCAGGCTGTTTTCCAGCCATGGCGCGTTTTGCACACACAAGCGTAGCGCGCCCACGTGAACCATACTCAGGCACACCTCTTCCAACAGGGCAAGGGCCGGCCAAGTGAGCCGTGCCTGAGCCCGATTTAGAGCACTCACACTTCTCAAACGATCCAGGAAACGGGCCTGGGCATGGTACGGATAGCATAGTGTGAGTAGGCCCTTACAGTGTTTACTTTCAGTGCTATGAGGCTAATGTAATGTTAGCATTTTCCAAGATCCCCTATTAACCTTAACCTGGCACCCTTAAACTCTTGTCTATTGTTTAAGTTGACTACTCATTTGTTATGTTCGTGGCTGTTTTTGCACCAATGACTTTCATTATAACCACACTTTTGGTCTGCAAAGTCTTGACACCAAATAATCATGCATTTTTTATTATTGGTGGTTTACCTGGGCAAAGTCAGCTACAAGCAACGAAAGGGCAGTAAATTAAAGTATTGTTGAGTTTTTGACAATTTTCAAAGTATTTTCCAAAAATGTGTGTCAAAATAAGATTTGTCAACAAAAATCAATAAATTTGCTGAAACGACAAGAAAGTTGTGGCCAAATTAAGCCTCAAAAAGAACCCCAGAGTGGACGAAACGTCCCCAACAGCACACAAGGGTTAAAAGAGTTAGAAAGTTCACCCAAAAATGAATATTTACATTCACTACCACATTGTTCGACACTTGTATTATTTTTCTGCTGAACACAAAAGCAGATAGTTTTGAATTTTGGTAATCAAAAAGTTGAAAACTTACCCTTATTGTTGAAGTAAAGTATCCTACAGAGGTCAGTAGGGACCAACAACGTTTGGTTTCCAACATTCTTCCAAATATCCTCTTTTGTGTTCATTACAAGAATGAAACTCAGGTTCAGAAGAAGTGGAAGGTGAGTAAATGATGATCGAATACTGTTAATACAGAAAACCCCACAAAATAACAAAATAAGACCCGCTCACACACCCACACACTTTCTCTTGTTCATTGTTGCTTACAGAGATTGTGTTTTTTTTTACCATCCTTCAGGCTGTGCCTTTCTCAGAAATGTTACCCTCTACGATGTCGATTCAGTCTTCACCTGTTACCCAGAATCCCTTGTTGTCTGCCCTGCTGTTTTCTCAGAAGCCTCAGAAGCTTCCTTCTCAGAAGCAGGGTTTCGGTGAGCTGGCGTCGCTGCCAGATTTACAGGTACTTTCACACATGCACAATGCGAAAATCACACATGCTTATCAACAATAAGTTTATCATTTGAGTTATGGAATACATTTTCTTAGCAAGTTTACAGACAGTGTAACATTTAAAATTTTGTAAAATGATGTACAAATAAAAAAAGAGATGGGGGGCACTAGTGGTTAGCACTGTCGCCTCACAGCAAGAAGGTCGCTGGTTTGAGTCCCGGCTGGGCCAGTTGGCATTATTGTATGGAGTTTTCATGTTGTTCCTGTGTTTGCATGGGTTTCCTCCAGGTGCTCCAGTTTCCCCCACAGTCCAAAGACATGCAGTTTAGGTGAATTGGGTAAGCTAAATTGTCCATAGTGTATGTGTGTGTAAATACAAGAGTGTATGGGTGTCTCCCAGTACTGGGTTGCAGGGCTTCCGCTGCATAAAACATATGCTGGAATTGTTGTTGGTTCACTCCGCTGTGGCTACCCCTGATAAATAAGGGACTAAGCCGAAGGAAAATTAATGAATGAATGAATGAGCTTTATTATGCATAAACAACCAACTAGAGGTACATTATCCCACTTACTAAACTTGCCACAAAACTAAACAACTAGACACAAATCATTGACGCGACCTGTAATATTTAACTCTTAAATTAACATAAAGTTTATAGACACAAAAATGGCTGAATGCAACCACTGAAACTAATAACACAGGCCTATGCGCGTACTTCGAATCATCTCGACAATTAACGAATACGTTAATGACCACCGCACATGTAGAGGAACAGCTGACAGTGGCCATAGCAACAACAAATGGCAGACGATTGTGAGCTCACAAACGCATTTAAATCCGTAAATAAAGCGGCATGCGTCAAGTTTTCAACATGGTTTTAGACGCGATATGAGAATATAAAGAGTTAACCAGAAACAGTACAAGCGGTCACAAGTAACAAAACACAATAAATACATAATTTGCTAGCTATAGAAAACAAAAAGGCAATCATTTTAATCACACTCAAGTTACTTACACTTGTGAAATGGAGAAAAAAACTGATCCATGAACGGTGTACTGTAAAGTTCCTGTCAAGCTCTGACTAAGTTCCAAACATCAATAGTCTTTTCTGATCCTTCCGTGATTCCCTTGTTGTAAGCATATAAATTGCTGAAGCACTCGTCAGAAAAATGACGGGATCACAGCACAAGGCTGGGGCAATAATGCTGAGGTATTTTTACAAAAAAAAATTCAACCACTGACTCTTCACAGCCTTATATTTGGGTCGGGAAAATAACACTAACTTTCCCTCACACTTCAGAGCACAGCGTCTTCACGACATGATTCAGTGTTTGTGGGCAGGCCCGGAGGGTTTCAATTTTCCTGCGTCTGCATGCGCAACAAATGAGTGGGGCTTTAGTTCCGTATTAATGTCATGCCAATACAGCTAAAGACTCATTACCTTCACGATTCATTTGAACCACTCTGAGTCGACTCTTTAATAGACGATTTAATAGTTTTAAACATGGTGGACTTTCAGATTTTAGCCTTAGCTGCATATTTCACTTCACTTAAAGCTGTTACACACTGCATGTGTTGCACACTGACATTTTCAAAAACCCATAATAAGGGCTCTTAAAAACAAATACATATTCATGTTTATCTTTATTGCCGCTCCTCTTGATTGTTTGGCGTCGTCTTATGACGAATGAAATACGTAGGTTAGTGTAGGCAGCATTCAGACATTTTTTTCTTCAAATTTGACACATATTTCTTCTTTTTTGTAACATCAAAATAACATAACTAACATATCTCGGTAAAATTGTCTAATTTCAAATTCCTCCGCATATTATTTGTTCAACTCTGTGTAAAAATGTCTAAAGCAATACATACAATTTATCTAATCAGCAATATTAAAGCTTTTAAAGCAATAGTAATTAATCTGAGGTGTACGCTTATCTGAGATACCATGGGTTAATGTTTACAGTCACCATATGATAGCATGCAGGTAATGTCCCTATTATCTTTGAAAAGGACATTCCGACATATCACAGCTGTCTCTACATTAGCCTTGTCTGAAATGACACCCACAGCCCACATAGTCCTCTAAATCGAGGATAATTGCTGGGTAACAGTATGTAGATTTAGATGTACATTTTAATATATTTTAAAATGTAACTCTTTGCTCTGATAATTAATTTTCAGCATCGTCACTTTAGTCCTCAGTGTCGCGTAATTCTACCAGAAATAATTCTAGTATGATTTAATGATCTAGAAGCATTTTTTTAAAATTAGTATTATCAATGCTGAAAACAGTACTGGCGTTTAATATTTTGGTGAAAATGGCAATTTTTTGGGATTCTTTGATAATTGAAGTGCTCAAAACAACAGCATTTATTTTAAATCTGAATCTTGTGACTTCTGTTAGGTAATGCATCCTACTTGAAAACAAAAAAAACAAACTATTGGATATTAGTGTAAATACTTATATTTACCATCTAAGATATGCACAGTGTCAGGCTTTTGAATGGTAACTTGCCCCTTTTTGATCATGAGAATGCAGTTTTCTTATTCTCTTATTTTTTATTAGCAATTTCTTAAAGCCACCATATAATAAAAATATGAAAATACCTAGAGCAATGGTCTCAAACTTGATACCTGGAGGGCCGCAGCTCTGCACAATTTTGCTCAAGCCCTTATCAAACACAGCTGATCCAACTAATCAAGGTGTTCAAGACATCTAGAGACTTTTTTCAGCATCGTCTTTCCAGTCTTCAGTCTGGTATAATACAGCCAGAAAGCATGTTAAAATGATTTAATGACCAAGAAACATTTACTAATGTTGAAAGCAGTAGTGGTGTTTAATATTTTGGTGGAAACTGCAATTATTCTGGATTCTTTGATAATTGAAGTGTTCAAAACAACTGCATTTATTTATTTAAGACTGAACCGAACGTTTGTGCAGATGGTGATATTAATTCCTGTCCTGTGCTATTATGGAGTATAATATATAATAGTTTAATAATTCAGCCAATTTTTCTTCCACAACACGACTCGGGAAAAAACTGGGTTACTCTGGTCACATAAATATGTCCACTTCAGTTAAAAAGACAGGAATTTATTCTCTATTTGTTCTAATATGATTATTTTGCATGCATTTAATGCACATTTATGCACCGTGTCATATCACACAGCTCTTTCTGTGTTTTTTCCAGAGAGAAAAGATGCCAGTATACACTTTTTAAAACTAATCAGTTTATGCAAAGGTTGATATTAGTTTCTGCTTGTGTTTCCATATTAGCTGAAGCTTCAAAATTCTAAATCTAAATACATCTCTGTTTGTACCTTTTGTCAAATATAGTTATACTTTAACCAATATTTCATCCACAACACAATTCAGGAACAAACTAGGTTACTCTAATCACATAAATATGTCCACTTTAGTTGAAAAGACACTAATTTAACAAGCAATTTCTTCCCAATTTGTTCAAATATGATAATTTTGCATGTGTTTAATGCACCATGTCATATCACAAAGAAATATGATTATTATTTATTACACTGACCTCAGAATACATCGTGATTTGCGTTTATTTGTGAGACATGTTCTCGATTTTACAATTCTATATTTTCTGAATGATGCTTGAATTTAAATTAAATTCTGATGTAACACTATTTTTTTTGTTCTCAAGAACTTATTTAAAAATCTCTTAATAAAAAAGTTTTCTTTTTTCCTGTTAGTATTATCTGGATGTCTTGGAGTCTGACAGCTCAAGCTTGCCCCTAGAGGACATCGCTGAAATCTGCCAACCTAACCTCCCCGATCCACATCCAGAAAACTCAACAGATGCTTTCTGCTGCGTCAGTGAACTCACACAAGCCATATCAGACTCTTTAACATGCCTGCCCTCTGATCCAGTAGAAGTCCTGGAAACATGCATACAGACACTCTCGGACTCTAGTAACTCTATGTATTCCCCCTCAAATGCAGTCTACAGCCCTGAGAGCGAACTCATTTTACCGAAAAGCCAGATAAACGATTCGGTCCTCAGTGAGTTTTGCTCTGAGCTGAACACATACACCATTAATGCTGACCAATTAAACATGGCGCCTGCCCAACAGACTCTCTCACAATTCGAGGAGCGCCACGTTATGCTGGGTTTTGATGACTCGGCTTCTGTGGGCTCTGTAGATTTAGAGACTTCCCTCTATGAGTCCTTAAGTAATGAACAGTCGGACAAAGACGAGCTGGAGAGCATCCAATCAGATTACACTGATCTGCTATCGTTGTCCGCAGACGCAATGATGTATGAAACTGTTACAAATGCACAAGAACAAACGCAAAAGACTAGAGTTCGCCGCGGGTGTCGTGACGAACAGCGAGCCCAAGCGTTGAGTTTGCCTTTAAGTGTGCATGACATCATTCACCTGCCTGTGGAAGCGTTCAATGAAGCTATTAGCACATGTAAACTCAACCACGCTCAACACACACTTATCAGAGATATTCGGAGGCGGGGTAAAAATAAGATGGCCGCCCAAAGCTGCCGCAAGCGGAAGATGGATAGTCTCTTCGGGCTCGAAGACGAAATCGAGGACCTGAAGAGGAAGAAAGATCAATGCATGGAAGAGAAAGAGAGGAACGCTAGAGAACTTTGTGAGACGAAAGAGAAGGTGGGGAAACTTTACAACGAGGTGTTCAGACTGTTGAAAGACGAGCATGGGAACTCGTACAATCCCAGAGAGTACAAACTACAGCTTAGCACTGACGGCACGGTTTACCTGCTGCCTCGTAACACAGCTCACAAGAACAAGATGTCAACAGGGGATTTAAATGTTGCTGTATAACAATTCAACGACTCTATCTGTGGTTTTATTGAGATGTTGTGGGCCTTATTTATGAACTCTTGATGACATACTATGAGCACTTGTGATCAGATTAGTTGATTTTATTGACTTGACCGACATCGTCATTCTAGCTTCTGGTTTCAATCATGCATTAAGGCCACTGTCTAATTGAAATGAGGACTCTTATTTTGAAAACAGGGATTGTAAAAAGGAGCAGTCTTGTGAAGCAGGCATTCAAGGACAACCGCATAATGTTCACAGCTCTCCCGAATGTAAAATGTGAGATTATAAGTTTATTCTGTGCTTCCAAAAGAGACAACCTCTGTTTAGAGGTATATTTTGTCAGTTTAACAAATAAATATTGTGATATTTCCTGTGTTTATTTGTAATGAGGCAACAAATACATGTAAACCACTTAAAATATGTGTTTAATGCAGGTTTATGCATCGTGTCATATCTCTCAGCTCTTTCTGTGGTTTTTCCTAAGTGAAAGGATGCCAGTCCACTTCATAAAACTCGTACAGTCCCAGAGAGTACAAACTACAGCTTAGCACTGACGGCACGGTTTACCTGCTGCCTCGTAACACAGCTCTCAAGAACAAGATGTCATCAGGGGATTTAAATGTTGCTGTATAACAATTCAACGACTCTATCTGTGGTTTATTGAGATGTTGTGGGCCTTATTTATGAACTCTTGATGACATACTATGAGCACTTGTGATCAGATTAGTTGATTTTATTGACTTGACTGACATCGTCATTCTAGCTTCTGGTTTCAATCATGCATTAAGGCTACTGTCTAATTGAATTGAGGACTCTTATTTTAAAAACAGGGATTGTAAAAAGGAGCAGTCTTGTGAAGCAGGCATTCAAGGACAACCGCATAATGTTCACAGCTCTCCCGAATGTAAAATGTGAGATTATAAGTTTATTCTGTGCTTCCAAAAGAGACAACGTCTGTTTAGAGGTATATTTTGTCAGTTTAACAAATAAATATTGTGATATTTCCTGTGTTTATTTGTAATGAGGCAACAAATACATGTAAACCACTTAAAATATGTGTTTAATGCAGGTTTATGCATTGTGTCATATCTCTCAGCTCTTTCTGTGGTTTTTCTGTGGCCAGTACACTTCATAAAACTCGTACAGTCCCAGAGAGTACAAACTACAGCTCAGCACTGACAGAACGGTTTACCTGCTGCCTCGAAACACAACACTCAAGAACAAGATGCCAACAGAGGATTTAAATATTGCTGTATAGCAATCATAGACTGTAACAGATATGGACGTAGTATCCATGACGTCACCCACAGGTTTCTGACGAACCCAAAAGAAGCAATAGGCATAGCCAACTGTCGCCATTTTGTTTGTGTGTCATCGCACCAACTGGTGGAAACCAAACAAGTAAAAGGGGCGGAGCATGAGCGGAGCTACAGGTGCCTGCTAGCATTTTGCTTAGACAGGCTTTTCTTTGGGAGAAACGCTTAATACTTCATTACCTGCAACTCGTTTGTGTTCTGATCATATGTGCTTGGTTGTGTACTATAGCAATAAAGTGTTTAGTCTTTTAAAAACACTGGTGTATTACTTTTCTACTGGAGGAAAACACAAATTACTTCCAAATACTTTAAACATAGTCTGTGTTTGTACACGCAAGGCTACTTATGAAATCCAGGCATAAGACTGTATGACAGTGTTTCAGATGACTGTTTTAGAGCCTACAGCTAATTAGTCTGTCAGATTCTGGAGTGGTTTACAGTTCTAAAGAAACATATAAATGATCTTTAATAAAACAAATACATATGGTAAATAAGTATATAATTTCACTCACCTGGCAAATGGAGGCCACGTGAATGGTTTGTGAGCACAATAAATTGCACACAGCATGCCATATCATCTAATAATTGTAAGAAATAATTCCAAAAGGCAACTGACTGTGTAAAGCCACATAAAACAAAATAAAAATACCATGCATATGCTGAGTTTATCAGCTAATCAGCCGGAATCAGCTGAGGTAAAGGGACGACGATCAGCGAGACCTAGCTGTATCTCAAGTGACCACACCCTTAATTATGCAGAATAAATATAACTAAAAAAAAAAAAGAGACGAATGAGTTCTAAAAAAATTGAAGGGTAAAAATGAAGGGTAATATTAGTTATATGAACCTCTTTCTTTGTACATTAAAAATCTGCTTTATTATAGAGCCAGGACTAGCAAAATTTCGATGAATTTCAGTTTCAGTTACTTTCGTATTTGCTTCATGAGGGAGAGGGTGAGGTTGCTGCATGATAACAATCCAATAACTTCATCTTTGTGTTTTTATTGAGATGTTGTAGACGTCATTGACCTTATTTATTATCTCTTGACGTCACATGCACAAACTTGGAGCACTTATGATCAGATTGGTTGGTTTATAGATTGAATAAACATTTATTCATTGAACATTGCATCTGCCTTCTAGCTTCTGATTTTAATCATGCATTAATGCAACTGTCTAATTGAATTTGGAAGGACTTGTTGTGTTACAACACTCACATTTGGAGTTTGGTTTGCTTTAGAGATGCACTGATTGAACAGAGAATCAACCAAGTCAGTTTTTTTCTGTCACAAAATCTGTAACTGGAACATCAACAAAGGCAAGAGACACTGAAGCCAGAGCGTCTGTGTGTTGATTATGTATTTGTGATCTGAAAAACCAACCAGTGATAAGATGAGAAACAAGCTGTAGCAAGTGAAAGAAGGATCAATGCGTGAAAGAGAAAGAGAGGAACGCTAGAGAACTTTGTTAGACGAAAAATAAGGTCAGGAAACTTTACAGTGAGGTGTTCAGACTGTTGAAAGATGAGTGTGGAAACTGTTACAATCCCAGAGAGTACAAACTACAGCTCAGCACTAAATGGCCTGGCACCTTCTTATCTGTCAGACATGTTAATTGGGCATCAGCCTGGTCGGTCTTTTCAGTCATCTAACCAGAGACTGTTATGCATCCCCAAGTTGAGGCTGAAATGAAGAGGTGACCATGCCCTCACAGTAGCTAGTCGTAGGATGTGGAATGCTCTGCCTCTCTGTATGAGATCTGTTCAATCCATGTCTGTTTTTAAATCTAGGTTGAAAACTTACCTCTTTGATTTGGCATTTTATCAGTGAAAATTTTCTATTTCAGTTATAATTTTATATATATATATATATATATATATATATATATATATATATATATATATATATATATATATATATATATATATATTTTTTTTTTTTTTTTTTTTTTTTTTTTTTAATCTGTTTAGATTTGTATTGTGCAGCACATTGGTCAACCTGTGGTTGGGTTTAATAGTGCTAAATAAAAAAAATTGACATTGACACTGACTGCACAGTTTACCTTCTGCCCTGTAGGAACAAGATGCCAACAGAGCATTTAAATATTGCTGTTTAACAATTCAATAACTTTATCTGTGATTTTTATTGAGATATTGTAGACGTCATTGACCTTATTTATGACCTCTTGACGTCACATGCACGAACATGGAGCACTTGTGATCAGATTGGTTGGTTTATTAATTGACTGACAATTTAGTCAGCAGACATTGCATCGTCATTCTAGCTTCTGTTTTCAATCATGCATTAGGAATACTGTCTAATGAATTGGGAAAGACTGAAATTTTTAAAATGCTGTCAGTGTTACAATCCTCACATTTGGAGTTTGGTTCTCTTTAGAGATGCACTGATTGAACACAGAATCAACCATGGCAGTTTTTTTAATGTCACAATCTCTGTAACTAGAACATCAACAAAGGCAAGAGACACTGAAAGCAGAGAGTCTGTATGTTGATTATGTATTTGTAATCTGAAAAACCAACTAACTAAGGAATGAGAAGCAACATGGCCACCCAAGGCTGTCACAAGTGAAAGAAGGATCAATGCGAGAAAGAGAAAAAGAGGAACGCTAGAGAACTTTGTTAGACGAAAGAGAAGGTCAGGAAACTTTACAATGAGGTGTTCAGACTGTTGAAAGACGAGAAACTCATACAGTCCCAGAGAGTACAACCTACAGCTCAGCACTGACGGCACGGTTTACCTGCTGCCCCGTAAGAACAAGATGCCAACAGAGCATTTAAATATTGCTGTATAACAATCCAATAACTTTATCTGTGATTTTTATTGAGATATTGTAGACGTCATTGACCTTATTTATGACATCTTGACGTCACATGCACGAACATGGAGCACTTGTGATCAGATTGGTTGGTTTATTAATTGACTGACAATTTAGTCAGCGGACATTGCATCGTCATTCTAGCTTCTGTTTTCAATCATTCATTAGGGATACTGTCTAATTGAACTGGGAAAGACTGAAATCTCCAAAATGCTGTCAGCGTTACAATCCTCACATTTGGAGTTTGGTTCTCTTTAGAGATGCACTGATTGAACAGAATCCACCAAGCCAGTTTTTTTATGTCACAAACTCTGTAACTGGAACATCACATAAGCAAAAGACACTGAAGGCAGAGCGTCTGTGTTGATTTTGCATTTTTGATCTGAAAAACCAACCAGTGAAAAGATAAAAAGCAAGATGGCCACCCAAAGCTGTAGCAAGCTTTGTGAGACGAAAAGAGAATGTCGGGAAACTTTACAATGAGGTGTACAGACTGTTGAAAGACAAGAAGAGAGTAAAAACTACAGCTCAGCACTGACGGCACGGTTTACCTGCTGCCCTGTAAGAACAAGATGCCAACAGAGCATTTAAATATTGCTGTTTAACAATTCAATAACTTTATCTGTGATTTTTATTGAGATTTTGTAGACGTCATTGACCTTATTTATGACATCTTGACGTCACATGCACGAACATGGAGCACTTGTGATCAGATTGGTTGGTTTATTAATTGACTAACAATTTAGTCAGCGGACGTTGGATACATTGGATCGTCATTCTAGCTTCTGCTTTCAATCATGCATTAGGAATACTGTCTAACTGAATTGGGAAAGACTGAAATCTCTGACATGCTGTCAGTGTTACAATCCTCA